TCAAATTCAATGTGTAACATTAATATTCGTGGTGTTTTTTTTCACATGTGATGTTGTTTAATGGCCGTTCTTTATGCGACACATCATCATTATCATATCTGGTAATGATGCGAATAGAATAGAATGAAGATAACAATATTATTATTGTAAAAACGTTTTAAAACAAAGAATCAAATAACAATTTCAATATATATTATTACGATTCATATATGTATATCGATAATCGATAAAGAAAAGGATGCAAACAATTATACGACGATATAAATCTTCCAACAGAGAGAGAGATAAATGAAAAATACAAAAGTGTTACAATTATAATACTTCTTAGTAAACACGCTTTAATAATTTCTGTGTGTGTATGTGTGTGTATGTGTGTGTGTGTGTGTTAACTTATTAAAACGGAATTCTTACGACGCTTATTATATGTTATATATAATTTTATGAACTTAATTGCAAAAATATAATTATCCTATTATTTTTTTTTTGTTTCGTTTTGTTTTTGTTCTTTTTTTTTATATCTTTTTATTCGTTAAAAATAAGAAAAAAAAAGAAATAAAACATTTAATAACGTTCGTGCACACCGAAGTTTGTTGAAAATTCATGAGAGAGAGTTACCATATAAATATTTAAGAAATTGTTGTTTTATCCCATTAGAGTTGTTCGATAAAGGGATTCAAGAGATTGACAAACTCCGATTAGACACTTTGAAAATCAAACATATCGTAAAGGTACACATAAGTATTAAGATTCTTTGAAGATGTGACACAAGGAGTTTTCTCTTTTTTTTTTACTAAGTTAATAAATGAAATGTACCTACATCAAGGCACTGATTAGTACAGAATTTGTAGTTTCTGTCATTTTATGTGTATATATATATTTTTCTATCGTCCATTATCTATTCTGTATTTTGTAATTCTACTTTATGTATCTTAAAGTGTGTTGTCAAATTTTAGGATATATTTATCTTTTTTTTTTTTTAACCAACAACTATATCAAATACTATACCTGCTGCTCTTACAATTTAATTAATAAATTCAAGCAAAATGCGAATTAGAACGAATGATTAGCATTGGTTTTTTTTTTTTTTTTGTATTTTTTAACTTTTTCTTCTTCTATCGTGTCTTTTTTTCTAAATTATCGTTCTCCCAATCCCTTTTTCTTTCTACTTCTCGGCATCCGTTCTATTTATAATAATACCACCCAATTTATCATCAGATGTTACATTAAAAAAAAAAAAAAAATAAAAAATAAAAATAAAAACATTTTCTTAAGTTTAAATAATTAAACACGCGCGATATCTTTACGAGATCTTTTTGTACGTGATATATATACTTAAGTTATTATAAGTAAGTAGGGTAAGTATTTTCATAAAAATAAAAGATAAAGGAAAAAAAAATAAAATAAAATAATACAAGAAGATTAGATCACAGAAAATGTATAAAAAGGAAATTATAAAGCAAACGTAATTAATTTTATTTAAAAAAAAAAAAAAACAAAAAAAAATGAATATTATACGTGTAATATCGCTAATTAATTATTTCACTGTTGTGTGAGTCTTTTGTGCTCATTTGTCTTTTATCTAAAAAAAAAAAAAATAAAATCAAAATTTTCAAATAATAATATTTGAAATCCTTTCTTTTGCTTCCTGAGATAAAACTACCTCATAAAAATATTCTCTTAGCATTATTTCAATATACAATATACCCTGATTTCTATGTGAATAATTTTTTGTATTATAGAAATAACTATATAATTCTTATTTACATACATATGACGACACGACGACGACAACATCGAAAATAAGTACTTTCTCTCGTGTAATATAACCAATCGAAGAGAGAGCTTTTTATACTCAAAAATCTAATATACAAAATAATATTCGAAATTAAACTGAGAAACTCTGATGTCTGATTAATGTAAGAAAAACAAAAAAACAAAAACAAAAAAAAAGAACTAGGAAATCAATGTTTCGAGATTTTCTTAAATAATACAAACTTGAATTGCAATTGAAGAAATATTATACAATCTAACTAGTTTAATTCGAACTTTGTTCCCTATTATATCATATTTTAAACATTATAAATAAAAGTGATTGTGATAGTGTGCGAAACTCTTATTATATGATAAAAGTATCCCAAATGTATCCTAAGAATCTCATATCGGTCATAATTCAATTTTTCTTACGTATAATTTCATAACAAAAATTATGCACCGATAAGATCTATTTGATAAAACGAGACATCAGACAACAGAGAAAAACAGTACAGACGATAAGGCGATAGTTTTTCTACCTCTGTTTATATTTTTTCCTTTTTATATAAATGCATGTATGTATAAACGTATACAGTAGATTCTCTTATAACTCTAGTTCCTAGAAAACGCAATTTTTCTAACGAGCCAAAAATATAGCGAATATTGTTTTGTTTTATTTCTCATTTGTCAAATAAATTATTAACCTCTACTTATTACTTCTCAACATTCATATTTCATTCTCAATAAACATATTATATTCTAATGAAAAAAATATTCGAATTTATCTGTAATTACAATAAAACAAAAAGAGATTTCCTATCACGGGATTTTGTATAACGCGAGTTTATACAACGCGTAACGTATTAACCCGCATTATACGGGAGTCTCTACTGTACATAATATATACATATACGCATTATGCTTCTTCAACTATATTGTCTCGATTCGAAACTACCTTTCCGTTCTTGCTAGGTGACTCGTTAAGAGGTTGAGAATCCTCTTGAACGGATTGTGGATACTTTTGATCAGGATAATTCCATTCTTGAATGTCGGCAGTGCCAAAGATTTGATATACGATATATGTACTACAAGCTACACACGTAGTTACTCCGAACACTTTTCTCCAAGCGTCCAATGCTTGCTGTTAAAAGTCAATTATTATTCGATACAAAATTATCATTAGAATTACGGTGTTATAATGTTAACAACAAAAAGTATACTTACGCTTTCTTGAGTGAGCAGACCAGCTGCTATAGGTGACAGAAAACTAGCTGTCATGTGAATAGTTTGTGCGAATGCTAATACAGGACCTACGATAAACAAACAATCCAAATTTCACTCTGAATGTTTCTCTACATAGAAACAATGAAAAAACTTACCGGCAAAATTTGGTGCTATGTCAACGATATTAGCCATTGCACCAGCATAGGCAGCAGTTATAAGTATAACAGCTATGAACCAAACGATTGCTACAAGAATTATATTACATCCCAGATATCCGATAAGAAGAACGAGAATTCCAGGAATCACTTGAGCTAAATAGATCACACAACGAAATCTTTATAATATGATTATTAATTATTATCCCCATACAATAATCTAATTGAATGAAAATAGAACTTACATGACGCCGTGAAAACTTTGCGAACATTTGTCAAAGATAAGATTTGTCGATTGACCAAAACATCGGCGACATAACAAAATACTACGGAACTTAGATAACTACAGATAAATGGTAATCCTGACAAAACGCCATTCTGAAAAAAAAAATAAATATAGATAGATATATCTTTATGTGATATAAATTGAAAAAGATTACAAATATTTGATACGTTATTGAATGCTTTCAAAAAAAACCTACAGCCTGAATGCTAAATCCCAGGACGGTTTTTATATACATCGGGCCAGAAATAATAAATACATAATGGACCCATATTCTTCCAAAAGTTGTAATACCGATGGCCCAAGCTGGCCACGACATTAGAATTGATTTCCATGGTACGGGCATTCCCTTGAAAAAATGCAAATATTTGTAAAACAAAAAACGTTTCCTCTTCTATTTAAAAATCAATATCGACAAAATCTACCTCATTCGTTCCCAAAACTTGATTGCCGATGCTTCCACGTATGTAACGTAACTCCTGTTGAGAGATCCTTGGATGAGCGGCTGGTGTGTCAAAAGCAAAGAAGTACCAGAAGAGACACCACGTTAATCCGATGGTACCGGTCGTGTAGAAAACCACTTTCCATCCAAAATGAGCGATGATGAATCCGCACAACGGATAGGTCAATCCGATCCCAAAGCTGAACCCTGAATATAGATAATCTAGATGTTAGGAATGGCTCACCCCACGACCAGGAAGGAAGCTGAAACATGAGGCTTGTCGAATGACCTCGGGGCCCGGGCTCGTTTCACGATTTGCACGCACGCGCCCTCGATGATCTCTCCTGGATGATGGTGAGCATGAATCAACCCTGTAAAGCGATTTAACTAGAGACTTAATACGAAGGGACGAGGGGTGATGAATGATGAGGCTGTACAGTGGGACAATGAAACTTCTATACCTGAAAACAGTTCGAGCAATATACTAGCTCTCACCGCTAAATGAGTAAACACTCGTCTTACGCAGAGACGCAACCCTGACGCAACCCTGACACAAAACAACTAATCGTATCTATGTTTTACGTTTGAAATATGTCAATATGTAAAAAATATGGAAAGAAAAAGGATAATAAAAAAGATTCTACGTAAAAAAAAGGTATGGTATATATGGTCTATATGGAATATAGAACAATGAAAGAAGATCGATATAAGGTAATATCTTTCTTCTTAAATAAAGTACAATCTAAGAAAATAAAACAAATCGATATATATCTATTCGGTCTGTGGTCAGTCTCTGAGAAAGTTTGAGTGAGAAGAATGAGATTAGAAACACGTGTCGAACGAATGTAGATTTTGGAAAGACAGAACTGACATGTAAAGATAATGAGCGAATAACATTATACAACGTGTGCACGTAGAGTCCGGCTGATTCTACCAGCTGGAAGTATACTCGGCCTTTCTCATGCTGTTGAGTGGTCGCTGATGAGTATACCCCTCGGTCCGGCGAATGCAACCAACGTGTGGAGCTAAACCAATCAAAAAGATCAATATCAACGATCGTGACTATTCGTCACTAAATTATCGTGTCTATCTATAATAATAAGACAGCAACGTAATCATTTACATATGCACATAATATATAAAAGTTATCAATTTCTTGATCCGGACTTGAATTTTGACAGTAAATATTGTTTGATGTTGCGAATAGCTTCTCATTCGAACTTCCATACATTCCAGTCTGAAAGAAGTGTGCATTAGTATATCACGAGGGATTATAATCGTCAACAGAGAGATCCAATATAAGCAACGTACTAGTGTTCTCCGCACATTATAAATGATTTGGGAAACATGATAAATCATATATATATACATTTATATACATACGTATATATACATATATATATATATATAAATAAATATATAAATATATAAATAATAATAGTATTATATAATAATATGATTCGATACGTATCGAAGTTTCACTGTAACACACAAAAGAACTTGTATTAGAGTGTCAGCTGTCTGAAGACTTACCTTGAAAGGAAGACATGAAACGGGATCGTTCTACCGGTGGAATCCAATGTCCAACAATGGCATACATAGCTGGCCAAGTTAACCCCTACAAAAATATATCCCATGTTTTCAAACGTTGTATCATATATTTTCTATAAAGGAAACATTACAAATGAACCTTTTCGCTACGACACCCTTACTAGCAAATGCACTACTACGGTTCATAATAATACCTACACGAACGTACTTAGTCCTTTCAATAGGATTACGTCGAGAATATAAAACTCGTGAGTATAGCTTTTACGAGTACGAGTCTCTTCATTTAATATAAATGATAGATAAAGGAATAGATGGATATTAAAATGTGTAATGCATTTAAAAAATTGTAAACTGTAACATAATGTCAATAGGAAACTATAGTTAGCAGTAAAAGATAGCGAATGTATGACAGTTTGGGTGACTATAGTCACTGGTCGTACACCACAAACTTGACTATAATCATCGTGAATACATCCGCGAGTTTCAAATATTAAATGGTTCTAATCAATGTTAGCAGCGAAAAGGTTAATTACAATGATTCAACCTACACTAGCGATTCCTTGTATACTTCGAAGACCTATCATAGCACCGTAATGAATTTCAGCAGCACTGGGCATAAGTAAACTGCAAATTGCAGTTAAAAGTTGGGATCCACCAAAGACGGTCTTTGTACCAAAATATTGAGTTAAAACGCCGCCCACTACTTGTGATAAGATATAACACCAATAGAAGGAACCAAGAATGGCAGACTGAATGGCTGGACTCCAGTCAAACTCACCCTCTTCCTGCAAATAATAAAATGTAGCGTATACGACGATCGATAAAACACCATTTTTCTTGTTCTCTCTTACATTAAAAAAACTTCACATTATATAAAATTTCAAATGATTCTTATTGAATAATTTAAAAAATTGTTCGCATGACTCGTCACATAACTTGTTAGTTTTTCTTAGAAAGAATGAAATTCATATACGATCGTATTAAAATTTACAAAGTTAAGGAAAAAGTGTGACTTCATTATTAATAATTTACATAAAAACGTTTAAAATACGCAATACTAAATGATTCCAAATTACGTAAGTTCTACGAAGTATAAACGTCAATTTAGTAAATAAGTATTGCGTGACAATTCGTAAAGTATACGATCGAAGTAGATAATAACGATAGAAAATAGATTCCTAAGGTTTATTTCAAAATTGAAATTGAGTATATAGAAATAATCGAAAAAATCTGATTATTGTTTATACCTCTAATCTAACAAAGTTACTGCTGTTACTACTATTGTTGTTGTTTTCCACGTGCGATACATTCGCCGATTTGTAACAATAATGAGACGTCTCAGTGGTGACCGTGACATTTGATTTCATAGTTGGTTTTGCCATGGCCACCATTGTAAGATTAATGTCAGTCCTCATCATAAAGGAAACAAGGAACCCGGAAAAAGAAAGCATATAGAGAACAACTCGTGCTGGCACCATGTCTGAAAAATAAATACAAATGGAATGCGTTATCGGATCGTACAAATTCTTTATTGAAGCAATTATTAAGAACAACAATTGACAGTATTTATTATATACTATTCAATTGAATGCGCGAATCAATCAATCAAGTGAATGACAATAAGTAACTTAGTATATATAAGTAGAGTGTGTATATGAATAAACTAAATTTCCAATGAGTATTCCATTTTTATCTTTATCTCTATCTCTCTCTCTCTCTCTCTCTCTTTCTCTCTTTTGATAATGTCTCTCTATGATTATTTATCTTTTGACTAACTGTACATTAATAATATTTTAGAGTTAAATCAACATAAATTATTCATACTAATGTTTATCGAGAAATGTTCTCCAGGTGTTACTTAAATGAATATAATACAATATATGCTTGTACTGATGATATCATTACACGAACAAATCGATACTGACTATTTACGTCCGGTATAAATGTACTATTCAACGAATAAGAAGAATAATTCTTTTATACGAATTATCGATCGTTTTGTTAAGAAGAATAACAGTACTATGAAAAAATTGTTTTCCGTTAAAAATGACGACGATAATTCTACATTTTTATATTTTATGCATGCTTGTATTATTACATTTTTCTTTGTATTTAGGAAAATAATAAAAAAAAAAATAATAATAATAATATAATGAAATTAAAAATATTATCATTATTAATATATTATTATTATTTTATTTTTTATCATTATTATATTATCATATATATAAATATTACATTATTATATAATTATATATATATTAATATACAATAATATAATATAAATATTTTTATGTATTTAAATA